GAGCTCACGGCTAGGAGACCAGCGGCGTGCGCGGCTTCAGCCTGTTCGGTGGGCGTGGCTTATGCGGCTGCGGCCTGTGCGGTGGGCACGTCGGGAGCAGCGTGACGTGCGACTCAGGCCGCGTGCGGAGCCCCGAACAGGCTAAGCAATCGATAGCCGACGAATCGACGATCGAAAACGTTGCCAACGTTTTCAATCGTCGATTTTAATCGACTTAATCGATTTAACTGTTGCATCTCTAGTGGTGTGTGTATTTTGTTAATATATTTTTAGTGTAATTTTTTTTTTTTTTATGCCCTCAGCAGTGTCTGACCAAAGGTATGGGGATGGTTCCAATTTTCAAAGTACAACAGGTCACTGTGTGCACATGAGAGGTCTTCCTTACAGGGCAACAGAGACAGACATTTATACTGTAAGTATGGTACAATTAAACTTTAAATGCTGTTTAATAGAAGTTTATTGCACTTTCTCTAGTCGCCTTCCAGGACAGTATCAGAGATGGGCTCCTCTCACCGGAATAGGAAACTCATCACCCACACCTAAATAAAAAGCACAAGCTTTGCACACCTCAGTAATTTGTTTCCTCTGGCCAAGCAGGACATCGTAATGTTATTTCCAGCTGGCCTTCGTGCTAGTGAGCAGGGGCTTCCCTCATGTACTGTATATCAGGGACAGTGGACATGGGGTATGCATGAGGGGGGGTTTCCCCATCTATCCATAGAATTTGGTATATCATTTCTCTCCTGTTCATTGAAGGACACAGGGCAACAGATCGTAGATCTTGAATGGTATATCGCCACCTGCAGGAGTAGGATGCTAGGCACATAACAAAAAGACAAGACAGCCTAGGGGCAGCCCCTGCTGGTGTCCCAACCCCTCACTTGCTGACAAGTCTCCAGTTTTTTGCCTAGCCTCACAGGTAAGGAGCTAAAAAAAATTCTCTGGAATTTTTTTTTTTTTGCGGTTTCTTCAAGCAAGTGTCACCAGGGCGACATGCTAGACTGTTTTAGATCCTTGTAGTCTCTCCTGCGTGACCGACGAGCGCATGCAGACTGCCACGGTGGGTCGGCTGCGACATTCGGTTCCTCGACGCCTGTGGGTTTGTCCCGGTGGAGTGCATATGACAGGAGGTCCTGACCTACCTGTCACAGCACTACGCGCAGGCTGGCGGCACCGCGACTACAGCCGGGGGCGTTGTGCCCACCGCTCCCCTGCGCGTCCTGGCTGCGGATCCTCGAAGTGCCTGGGGTCTGACTGTTTCCCGGCAGGGGTATGTATGTGGTGGCAGTGACTGTCGAGGGGATCGTGACATCTTCAGGTGGTAAAATGCAGTGCTGGTGCTGCGCTGTTTCTGTCACAGCTGCATCTCCTGGCTGCCTGTATGTGGCTTGGGGTTTGCCGATGTGGGGCTAGGGGGGGGATGTGGGGGTGTTCTGCTGCAGCATATGCAGACAATACCGCGGCTGACGCCGTTCATTCGGCGGCAGCTACTCGAGTCCCTGTTCTGGTTGTGGCCTCCATGCGGCTCTGCGGCCGCCATATTGGATGAGGGCAGACGCCCTTCCTGGGGGCTTCTGTGGGGGTCTTGGAGCTCTGTGGTTGTTTTTTAAGGGATGGCCGCTTGTTCCGCGGCCGCTACTCGAGTCCCTGGTCTGGTTGCTCCGCAGCCGTCATCTTGGATGTGGGAAAACGCCCTTTCTCACACATCACTTCCGCCTGGACTTCCTCGGGCGGATGGGGTCCCTCTCTCCTCTGGCCTGTGGTAGTTTCCAGTCTGTGGGGCGGTTTTGTGTGGGGTGTACCATGGATCGCAGGGATGATTCCTCTGCGTAGCCTTGTGAGGGCTGTGGGCTGCGCTCTGGGGACCTCTCTAGGTCCCCTCTTTGTGCGACCTGCGCTCCTTTGCCAGGCATCAGTGGGCCCCTGTCCCTGGAGGTATTGTCATCTGCCATGGACGGGTTTGTGACGCGCATTGAGTTCAGGAACGTGAGATGGTCTCTGCGCTAGTCCGCTTTGTCAGGGAGACCCTTAAAATTGAGGATGCTGCTAGCTCTTCCTCGCTGCCGCCAGTACAGTTTGGACGCATAAGAGTAGGCATTCCACCAAAGTGTTTCCTTGCATCCCCTTTTTCAATGACTTTATTATTAATATTGGAAGCGGCCTACCAAGTCCTTTGCGGTCCCTAAGCGTTTCTCGGTTTGCTATCCCTTTGAGGAGGTCTTTGGTCTAAGTGGTCTTCTCCGCCAGCGGTGAACCCCCCCCCGGTCTCTCGCTTAAACAAGGCCACGGTCATCCCGGTGGAGGATTCTCCGTCTTTTTAAGGATCCCACCGATAGGAAAGCTGAGGCGCTTTCCCCGACTCTCTGCTCCGTCTCGGGCGCTTATGGCTTCTCCCTTGGTCTCAGACTCTGACCGAGTGTGCTAAAATGTTGCACCAGGGTCTTGCAGAGGAGACTGTTTCTCACGCTTACGTGGAGTTGGCGGACCAGTTGGTGCAAGGCCTTGGGTATGTCTGCTATTCGGCCCTGGATGCGGCGCCGTTGGTGTCCAAGGTGTCTGTCAGCTGTGACGCTTCGCCGGTAGCTTTGGCTTAAGTGCTGGTCGGCGGATCAGGTTTCCAAGAAGGCTCTGACGGAATTACCTTTTACTGGGAACCGTCTGGTTCAAGGAATCAAGGATCTGACAGGTGGTAAGAGTACCTTTCTTGCCCAGGTGCGCAAGAAGGAGCAGTGCAGGAAGCCTGGGCCCACCTTCTCCACTCACAGGCGGCTTTTTCGGCCCCTTCTGACAAGTGTGGGAAGTTTAACAAGCCCTCCCCTTCACAATCGTGGGCTACCTGGACAATCTGCTTCTGTGGGCAGAGTTGCACTCCTCTCTGGTGACGGCTCTGGAGGTCACGGTGTGGTCCTTGGAGTTCGGTTGGCTCCTGAACCTGCTGAAGTCTTGCCTTGTGCCTTCTCCACGCCTGGACTATCTGGGCCTGGTTCCGGACACGTCGCAGCCCGCGTGTTTCTCCCTTGGGGCAAGCTCATGAAACTTCGTTCCAAAGTATGGCTGCTCCGGACTCGCTGGTCGTCCTTTTGCATGCAGGTCCTGGGTCTCATGGTGGCATCCCTCAAGGCGCTGTCTTTTGTGCAGCACCACACCAGGACCCTGCAGAGGAACATCCTGGTACAGTGGGACAAGTCCCCCCTATCCTTGGACAAGGGAATTCAGGTGTCTCGCGAGGCGAGAGCCTCCTTGCGCTGGTGGCTTCGTTCTCCAATCTCGGTGCGGGGAAGTCCTTCCTGTGCACTGGACGGTGGTCACCACTGATGCCAGCCTTTGGGGCTGGGGTCGAGTCCTGGGCGCCTTGACCGTGCAGGGTTGTTGGTCGCCGGACAAGTCCCAGCTGTCGATAAATGTGTTGGCACTTCGGGCAATTCACCTTTTCTCTCCTTCATTGGTCGACCCGGCTTCAGGATCTGGCGGTTTGTGTCCAGTCGGACAACGCCACAGCGGTGGTGTACATAAACCACCAGGGCGGCTCAAAAAGTGTGGCCGCAGGTCGAGACGTGTTCGGGATTCTCTTCTGGGCAGAGAATGGGGTTCTGGCTCTCTCGGTGTTCTACATCCTGGGGGTGGACAATTGGCAGGCCGACTGCCTCAGTCGACAGTCGGTGGACACGGGAGAGTAGTCACTGCACCCGGAAGTTTTTCAGCAGCTCTGTCTTTGCTGGGGGACGCCGGAGGTGGATCTTCTGGCGTCTCGGTTCAACCGGAAGGTGGACCGGTTTGTGGCCTGGATCCCTGGGCGGAGGAGGTGGATGCCCTGGTGGCTCCTTGGGGTCATTACGGTCTGATATGTGCCTTTCCTCCACTGTATCTGTTGCCTCGACTTCTGCGACGAATCGCGGCCGAGAACGTCACCGTCCTCGTGGCCCCGGACTGGCCTCGGAGCGTGGTACTCGGATGTGGTTCAGCTAGTGGTGGCTGCCTCTGCGTCCGCATCTTCTGTCCCAGGTACCTGTGTTCCATCCTTACAGTCGCTGGCTTTGACAGCGTGGCTGTTGAGCCAGGTCCTGAAGGACCGGGGGTTGTCCGATGCAGTCATTTCCACTATGCTAAGAGCGCGCAAAGCGGTCTCTAGAAAGATTTACCATCGCACATGGAGGGCCTATTTAGCCTGGTGTGAGGCTGGGGCCCTGTCCCCCGTGTTTGTTCTGCATCAGCAGGATTCTTTCCTTCGTTCTTGCAGCACGGGGTGGCCCTAGGGCTGGCGTTGGGCACTGTGAAGGGCCAAATTTCTGCCTTGGCTGTGCTTTTCCAGCGCCCTTTGACATCTAATCCTTTTGGTTCGCACTTTTGTTCAGGGGGTGACGCGCATTGCTCCTCCTGTCCGCTCGCCTTTGGCACCGTGGGATCTGAATCTGGTGCTTTCGGTGTTGCAGGAATCTCCGTTTGAACCTCCTTCGGGAGGTTCCGCTTATGTCTTTATCTCAAAAGGTGGCCTTTTGGTGGCCATCACTTCCGTTCGGCGGGTGTCGAGTTGGCTGCCTTGTCCTGCAAGTCTCCGTTGCTGGTGTTGCATAGGGGCAAGGCGGTTCTCCGTCCTCGGCCGGCATTCCTGCCTAAGGTTGTGTCGGCATTCCATCTGAATGAGGACATTGTCTTACCTTCCCTGTGCCCGCAGACGGTTCATAGGAAGGAACGTGCTCTCCACTGTTTGGATGTGGTTCGCGCTCTCCGTGTTTATATGGGAACTACGGCTTTCTGCGTTGCCGACTCCTTTTTCGTGCTCACGGAGGGCCCTTGTGAGGGCCGTGCCACGTCAGCGGCTACCATCTCTTGGTGGATTCGTAATGTTCTTCAGGCGTACGCCGTTAAGGGACGTGAGCCTCCTTTCCTTGTCACTGCCCATTCTACTAGGGCTTTTGGGGCTTACTGGGCCTTCTGTCATGGGGCCTCCTGTTTCTCAGGTTTGTAAGGCCGCTGCGTGGTCTTCTGTTCACACCTTTAAGTTTTTTACACGGTGGATGTTTTTGCATCGGTGGATGCTGGTTTGGGGCGCAAAAGTGTTGCAGGCGGCTCTTTGAGGGGTCTTTTGGGTGTTTGGGTGTTGCCCACCCCTGTGTACTGCTTGGTGACGTCCCTACCATTTCAGGATCTACGATCTGTTGCCCTGTGTCCTTCAATGAATGGGAGAGAAAATAGGATTTTGTACTCACCGTAAAATCCTTTTCTCTCCATTCATTGAAGGACACAGGTCCCGCCCTCTTTTATAGGCTGTACACTCCTTAATGCTTGTTACTTGGGACTTGTCAGCAAGTGAGGGGTTGGGCCACCAGCAGGGGCCGCCCCTAGGCTGTCTTGTCTTTTTGTTATGTGCCTAGCGTCCTACTTCTGCAGGTGGCGATATACCCTACCATTCAGGATCTACGATCTGTTGCCCTGTGTCCTTCAATGAACGGAGCGAAAAGGATTTTACGGTGAGTACAAAAATCCTTTTTTTTTTTGCCTGAAAGTTCCCTGCTAAAGTTTTAGCCTTGGCAACTATCCTGCTGATGTAGAGGACTCAGTGGAGTTCCCCCCCTACTGCAAAGTACCTTCAATGGGCTTTTGTTCTGCTGGTATCCGTCTCATGGCGTCCCCTCGTGCGGCTTCCGGTCTCGGAGATTCTGGGCCGATGGGAGATAACTGTTCTGTCGGGCCGCCGTACAGGGCCGAGGATTAGTCCGCCACGAGGCTGAGCTATGGGTCACTTTATACTCAAGACTATACACAACAGACTGCACTCTTGTATGTCTGGGTATGAGAAGTGCTTAATTGATGCAACACCTTGTGTAGTGCAAATTTAACTTTTCCTGAAAGTGCACTGACATTGCACCAGATATAAAGATGATACTTTCTGGAATGCGCATGCTAATTGGCTAGCTTTTTTTTTTTTTCTTGTCCATTGAGTGACATGGGAAATCAGAAACAGTCAGTTTGTTACATCTACAGTAGCTTGGGACCTCAAAGGGTGAAAGCTAAGGGTCAGAGTGCTTGTCATCCCCTGGGTGAAGCGCTGTGGCACTTTGAACTTTTCGCACCATCTTACCGCTGCTTCTGCTTGTGAAGCACCATGTGGATCTTCCTTGGTCACCTTGCTGCCTAAAACCAACACCAGCTGCCACAGTTTGAGTACCCGAGGCCTTGCCTCCCATGGTTGCTTACCACTGTGCAAATGCAACACATCTTCCATAAGACAATCGTACAGTCCACCTGAGATGCTGGCAGAAGTCATACAGGGCACTCGCTGTATTCAGCGACTGGTTACTACGAAAAATGAAACTGGAAGGGGTGGGGCAAATTTAGATTGGGGGCGTGGTGCCAGAGTTTAGTTTTGCCTAGGGCAGCCCAAAACCAAAATACACCACTGTTGTGTGGTATTCTGCCAGTAAGAACTCTAAACGCACTCTTGCACCATTCCCAGCACAGTCTCTCTGAACCCATAAACCAAGTTGGGTTTACAGCCCCTGTGACCATCTCGATCTCCGTTTCAGAATCCCAACAAGCGGTCTCTGTAGTGGCTTTTTGAGGCATTGCAGTCGCCTGCCATTAACAGGGTATGTATGTCTTCATGTAGAGCTGCTGAGCTCTATATGCAGCTAGTCAGATTGGCAGCTCCTCATTACTAGCTTTTAAGGACGTACCCAGCCCCCTGCTGAACTGGACAATTGTAAGCTATCCTAGAATGTAACCTATGTATTGATGTTTGCTGCAGTTGTGCAGGATTTTATGGGACAAATTGCAAGTTTTATTACCTACTCTGCAGCGTGCTTCCATGCCTTTCCCTGTAGAATACTTATCTGATCTTGCCTGCAGCATTAGCGACCTGTCACAAGTGGGGGACACTGGATGTGCACCTTCTGGCCTCCAGGTTAAACAAACTTGACAGATTTTGTCTGTTCAGAGATCCTAGTTCACTTTGAATACCTCTCCAGCCTCTATTCAGTCACATGTACAAGCGCCTGTTTTTTCAGGACCTTTTCCGTTCCATTGCTTTGATCTTTTTTTTTGTGTCCTGTTCCTAACTTAGTCTTTCTAATGGAAGCAGTGAAACTCTCACACACGTAGTCCATGTAATTGGGAACCTGCTTTTCATTCCACCATTTCTCAGTGGCTTAGACATCATTATTCAAGCTTATTGTCAAAGCACTCCACTAGATCTGTGAGTGCTTCCTGTGTTTTTTTTTCTGCATTAGGCTACGGTTTCTCAGATTTGCAAGGCCACCACCTGGCTTTTCATTCTACCAGGTGAATGTCCAGGCCTGATATCGTGCCAGCTTTGGCCATAAGGTCATCTGAGCTGCTTTTGGGGGTGGCAGACAGTCCCCAGTTCTGTTTTTTGTGGGCCTGTTAGTGTTTTGAGTGTCTACTGTTCAAATCCTCCTGTAACTTGAGTCTCTGAATTCCTTTGTATCTCAAACCCCAGTAAATTGATTTTATGGCTTGTACAAAATACATTTTTTGTTTTATTTAAAAAGTTGTATGCGTGTTCTTTAATACAGAAACAAAATGAGTTGTTTCAATGTGTTTTTTCTGCTTCTTTTAGTTCTTCTCTCCTTTGAATCCAGTAAGAGTTCACATTGAAATTGGGGCAGATGGAAGAGTCACTGGAGAAGCAGATGTTGAATTTGCAACACATGAGGATGCAGTGGCAGCAATGTCTAAAGACAAAGCCAATATGCGTGAGTAACTTCAAGTCCTAGCTGTGCTGAAAAACGTTGTTTCTGTAACTGACTCATCCTACCAGTGAATGAAGCATTCATTTTTTCCCCCAGCCAAGGCAGTTTTTGTACACTTGTTATAATCCATACTTTAGGCCTGAAAAATACTTAAAACCCCCAAAAGTTTATTTCCTGAAAGCAGACCCTGTAGAATAAAATGGCGGTAGTTGCACATTTTTAAGTCTCAAGATCTTAGTGCAACTCGATATAAACCACAATTATGTAATTTTTTTTATATAATCATGAGGTTGTGGCGAGTAAATACCCAACCTGCCAGTGTTTAAAAATGGTGTGCACCCGTGAAACGGCGACCAAATAGGATACCTCAAATTGTCAATATGCAATGCTTTAAAAGTTTGTACAGGTTATCTGTTTTTATACGTAGGTGTACCCTATGTGTTTTACATTAGTAAATCCTGCAATAACGCCGCGTCCCTGAGTCCAAAACAGGCCTGTAACAGACAATTGACAGTTTAACACCTTATGCATGTGTGGGCCACATCAGAAAATCTAACCTGAAATGTGCAGCTTTCGTTGGCATGCATGCATATAGACAGAAGTGGCAGCACAGAAATGCAAGGAGGTGAAAGTGTTAACATTAAAAATTGATAGTGAATTAGCAATTTAAATGAAATTCAGCTAGGTTTTACAGCTAATGGGAGGAATACTGTACCAAGAAAGATCAAGGCTGTTTGTTAACTGGGTGATCATTAAGTTCTGTAAATGCTTTGTCACTTATCTAGAATAGGCTTGCAGAGCAGGAGTTAAGACTTTTTCCTGATGTACAGACTTGTTCTGGCCTAGTGCCTGAGTTTTAAAGCCAGAGACTGTTGATCAACTAGAATTTTTAAAAGGTCACTAATGGCTGCCTCCTTTATATCTCTGTATTGGTTAAAGCCAGATAGTATTGCATTCTCGAAACTATGGTGTGGCAGTGGTTCTTTTTGAAGATTCTGCTCTTCTAGGTGCCCTGCTGTAAACCTCCATCAGCTGTCCATATGACCTATGTAATGTGCTAGGATACTTTGTTTTTGGTAAAGTGTTTAGTCAGAAATTTCTTTTTTTTTCTCACGGAATTACAAGCTTCTGTATGAACATATTTTTGTTTTATTTCCCTTAGAACACCGATATGTTGAGTTGTTCCTTAATTCAACGGCTGGTGGATCTGGTGCTGCATATGGTGGGCAGATGATGGGTGGACTTGGTAAGTATCAGAAAATCTTTTTGACTTGTGTAACTGGTTTAAAAATGGCTATTGATGCTTTACAATTGTAGGTTCCTTTATATAATTGCAGTCTAAATTTATATGTTCAATTTATTGGCAGTTAATATTTTGGAAATCCCATCCCAATGTGCTGTTTAGGATCTGTAATATGTAGTTTGCACAGTTTTTGCCACTTTCATGCTACTGTTTTCTATTAGTGGTTGCTTAAGATCCTCAAGGCCATCTTCCTGTCCTAGTGACAACCGGGCACTGTCATAAGCTGAACACATTGGGATGCATGGTCCATGTGTCCCTTAGGAGAATCTTCTAAGGGGCTGACTAAGATGCAAGTGGCTTCCTGGTCACTTTCTTGACATACTGTGCAATATAGCATTCATTTTGGATAGGAGGAATAGGAAGTTTATCGCGTACCCAGGGCTTTCCTGGTTGTATTCAAGAGAAGATGTAAAGGGACAACAAAGACCAGCTATTTATATCTAGCAAATTATCGAAGCTACTTTTTAATGCTAGAATCTTTTCCACTTACATGTAATGGAATTTGCTTCTAAAAACATATTTTTGTTTTTTAAACTGCATGAATGCATGTCCTTGCCTCACATTTACTGGAAACCTTTTCAGCGTTCAGGTATGAGTTGACACTTTTTTTTCCCCCCCTTTGGTTGAAACAGGTACACAGTCAAATTATGGCAGCCCTGGGTCCCAGGCTTTGAGTGGCAGCTATAGTGCAGGATATGGAAATCAGGCTGGTTTAAGTGGTTATGGTAAATATTACTTTTAAAAACTCTAGCCGCTTGTGAATTAATGGCGTATGCTGTTAGGTGTTTTTTTTTTTTCCTTAACACAACTACATTTTTTACTTTTACTTCTATTTTGGATACCCTTTTTTACATGGGGCTTTCAGGTATAATTAACCAAGCTTGCTATATATTAAGGGTTCCTAGCCTTTTTAGGATTACAGACCTGCCAATGGATTGCCCGTTCATATTGGCCAGACTGTCAAGCATCACCAGAACAGATGAAAGAATTTAAAAAATGTTATGTTCATAGAAAATTGTATTTTTCACAGATACACAACCAATTTACAACTAGTGAAATTGTTGCTGTTGTGTTTTGTGCAAAATGACTGAGTGACATTTCCTGACTGTTACTTGCACTGACACATCACGTTGCTTTCTCCACTTTAAGATTCGGTGATGCAGAGAAACTAATTTTTTTTTTTATTTATTTTTTTTCAATTATGCAGAGATCCAGTCCCTTACCTCCATCATTTGATATCCATACCAAAGGAACCCTTGATGTATATCCTAAGATATTAAGAATGAATTCATGCAAAATTGCTTGCGGTCTGTTCTAAGATCAATTTGGTTAGGCTTGCACATACTAAGGAAAGTGGAAGTTTACTACAAGAGTTAACTTTACAAATTCTGCAGGATTAATGTTAATGGGTGACTAACTTCAAGCCCATCTGTTGCACTAAATCACTGTTGGCATACCAGTGCATATGTTCTTGTAGAAAAAAAAATTAAATGACAAATATTTTGGTTTTGTTCTAGGTAACCAGAGTGGACTAAACAACAGTTACTATGGCAGTGGAAGACAAGGATCAATGGGTGTAAATGGGATGGGTGCAATGTCAAGCAATATGAGCATGAGTGCTGCATGGGGAATGTAAACCTAGGGAAAAGGGCATTTTTTTGTTTGTTTTTTAGGGGTTTTTTTTTTATGTTCAGGACTGAGCTGATGCTTTATTGTGGGATAATTATATATATTTTGTTTTGTTACCTGGAATGGTAACTACTTTTAACCTCCTTTTCCCACCCCCCCATGCTACCCATAATCCTGAACTTGCCTCACACCAGCATACAACCCAGTATAGCGCACATGCTTTCCCGAGGCTCTAATGGAAAAGCAATTTTTTTATTTTAAAGCCGGCAGGTTTACAGCTTAGTTCTCCCCCCCC